ATCTACTTTGAGGTTTCTGAGAATGTGGCCTTTGAGATCATCAGATACCCAAAGAATAAATAAGGGTTGGGCAGATTTAGCAAGGGTGGGGAGGGGATTGGGATAGAATTGGGACAGGATGCTCATTTGAAAGAACAGCCACCTCTAGCGCTAGAGGGTAAACAGGTTCATTATGACTGCAGCATGGAGTTCAATGGGGAGGCTGTAGAAGTGACAGGGATATGGGGTGGGCTTATTAAGTATTTGGGCTTTATCTTAAGAACAAGGGTTTTTTTAAGTCAGGGAGCAGCATGATCAAATTTTCAGTTAGAAAGCATCCTCTTCTCTGGCTGTGCTGTGGAGAGTGGTTTGGCAGAGAAGAGCTGTAGGGAGACAGTCTAAGAGTTCATTGAAGTAATGGGGGCGGGTAGAAATGATGGTGATCTGAACCAGGGTAGGTTAAGTTAAAGGATTCAAGAGACATTTAGCAGAGACAGTCCTTGAGAATTATTGATTACAAGGGAGGGTTATGTTAAGAGAAAAAGACACATGGTCAAGGGTGATCGGAAGTCCTTCAGTTCTCTGTTCCTTCCCATTCCTCCATCATTGATTTTAGGCAGTCATAGATTTTGAGCTGTAATATCCATGGCCATAAAATAAATACATTCAGGCCCAGTAGGACACTTTAAATTTTAATATTTTCTAAAATCTCTGTAGGATGACTTTTAGATTACAGAGGGTAGTTTTATGTTAGAGATAGTCTATGTTAAAAGCTTAAATAGCATACTTAGGTATATAAAATAATTGACAGTCATGGAAAAGTCATTTAATATTTCAGGGAAATGTAAAGATGTAACTCTTTTAAAATGTTATGCTATTAAACATCTGTTCATCGATGATGTATTTATTAGGCAAGGAAGGAATGTGAACTTTTCAGTACAGAATTACCCATCCATGGCCCAGCCTTAACTGAAATAAAACTCTAGACATAAAGTATAAAGTAATGAAAACATTTGTTAGGTACGCAGATAGCTCCAAGTAGTTCCAAGGGTTGTCAAGAGCCAATTGTGGTTTCCTGGAAGAATCTGGATCAATGATCAAATGAAACAAGCTATCACTGTGGGATTTTGCTGCTTTGATGGGAAATCACCACTGGCCAGTTCACTGCTAAGTACTCTGTAGTCACCATTTCCCTCCCTCCCTTCATTTATTCTTCCCTCCCTTTGTTCCTTTATTTCCTTGTAAGTTAATCTTTTTCTTACCTAACCCCTCTTAACTTCTTGGGTTTGAGAAGTTCTCTTAAGACGTGTAAATAATATGGAACTGGTACCTTTGTTTTGGTCTTGGCTTTACCAAAATGAGCTCTGTGATTATGAATTTGTCACTTCTCAGGATCTTGGTTTCTACATCTGTAAAATGAGACAGCTCAAGTAGATTAGTGATAAGGGGACTCTCAGCTATGATCTTTTACCTGCCTTTTCTCTTTCCTGGTCCTGTATATCTAGTTGCTCCCAGGCCTTTGTTTACTTGAGGGTCCCACTGGTTTTTGAGATTTGTTATCAAAGCCACCCCCTCATACTGAGGCTTCTATGGTTTGTTCCAGTCCCCACAGTCAGAACCAAGGGACTAAGGGGTGAGTTACTGGAAAGTAGAAAGCAGTCGCAAGGGAGGAGATGCCACACAGCAGCTAAAAGTCCTATGTTTAAATCCTCAGAACTTACACGAATCAGGAAACTGGCCCCTTCTTAACATTCCCTCTCACCATTTTTTTTGTTATTTTTTTAACCAGACACATGTTTGAGGTTTTGTTTTTTCTTTTTTGTGTGTGCGCATTTTTTTTTTGGAATGGGCAAGGTGGGGTGGTAGCTGAAGAGGGGAAAGGAGAAACTACTGAACACTTTACTACAAACCATGCTGCCTCAGGACACGAAGCACAGATTTTCTTACAAAGGCTGTCATTCTCTCCCTGCTTCCAGGTCCACCATTTGCAGTTTCATTATGGCAACCCCACCTCCATGTCTATCTTCAGGTACTGCTCTGTAGCATATTTCTTAACCATCCCTCCATTACTAATGTAAGTCCTCCTAATATCCATCTCAAGCTCATCTCCTCAGGGAATGCTGATTAACCCCACTTAGTGTTGATCACCAATAACACTTAAGCCCCCTGGACTTCATTAAGTGTTATTCTTTAAAAATACATTTAAAATAGCTTCAGATGCAAATTAGGAAAATAAGTCATAATGTATATGTTGTAGTTTATACAGTGAAATCTTCCATTACATATTTTATTTTTTTAATATCTATTTTATTTATTTGGTTGTGCCAGGTCTTAGATGCGGCAGGTGGGTTTCTTAGTTGCGGCATGCATGTGGGATCTAGTTCCCTGACCAGGGATCGAACCCAGGCCCCCTGCGTTGGGATCGCGGAGTCTTAACCACTGCGCCACAAGGGAAGTCCCCCATTACATATTTTAAATATACTAGAAATAGGGTGACTTTTCACATATTGATATGTTTAGTTAGTTTCCAAGATGAAAGATCTGGAGAGGAATCCTGCAACTATAAAGTCATTTTATCGGACTTGTTTTCTTTGCTCCTTGTGATTGCCAGGACTTGCTGAAGTTGGTCCCAGCTTGGAAATTGGCATGTATACTTTTGCACAATGGTTCTTATAAGGACTATGAAAATGTGGTCATTGAAAACTGTTTCAGAAAATGTATTGCTCCTGCTATGATGTTAAAAATGGTAATTTTTAAAGGTTATGTCCACTCTACCTAAGTTTAATTATAAATTGGATGATTTTTAAAGCTGTCTTGTCTACTTCTTGGTGTATTTTAAATTTGAAATGGATCTTTGAACACTTGCACCCTGCTAGACCAGTGGTCACTGGGTTCCTTGGTTTGCCACTAGAGCCACCTCCACTCTGGTATTACTAAGGTGACTCATGTCGTTTGGAGGTAAGGCAAATACTTTGCACTAATTTCCCCCCATCCCTTCTCCATTACTGTCAGCTCCCTAGCCATCACTGCCCTCACTTCTCCAGAGGCAAAGATGATGTAATTGCAGCACCTTTTCCTCTTTCTAACACACAAGATTGAAAGTTGCCCTTGGCAGATACCCTTTGGGATGTTCTTTTGAACTTTTGTTTACTGGTGTACACCATGCTGATTTGCCTGCTATTTTAGGATTACTGGATTGCAGTCTTCTAAGCAACAAAGAACCAAGTCTAATTTATGTTTAGCAAAATACTGGTTGTAGTAGAAATTTGTAAGTTTGTGGAATGCAGTATATTAGGATTGAATGACTTTGAGGAATCCTTTAATGTATGCTTTTGAATAAATTTTTTGCGCTTGTAGTTCTTAAAGTCCACTAGAAAGAGAACTGGGGTTGGTTGGTTGGTTGGTTTTGAACCTTGCAAGCAGTAAGAACTCTTCACCTTTCCACAAACACCCCCCACCCCCATTGTTCTCCCTTGCTTCCAGTTGTCGTTGATCCTGATCTCCAGACACCCCGCCCAGTAACAAGTTCCTTAGTGGTTCTTAAATAGGGTGCAAATCAAGCGGCCTTCGTCCCCACCGCGGCCCACGTGGGGCTAGTTTGGGGAAGACGCAGCTGAGTAGACAATTTCGCAGGGTGACTCATTCTCAGCACCGACCATCGCTTGTAAACCCGCCAGGGAAAATATGCCAGACATTGTTATGATGAAAACAACTGGGAGGGGTCGGTGGTGAGGAGAAGAAGAACTAAGATAAAATTTGGTCAAATCTACCGTCGCCCTGGAAGCCGGGCGGCGAGGCGGCCGGGGTGGCCGGGGTACCTGCGAGGAGCTCGGGCGGGCGGGCGTGGCCTGCGGGCGTGGCGGCGGGGGGCGTGGAGGGGGCGGGGCCGGCCGGCGGCGCCGGCGGTTGGAAGGGGGTGGAGTTGCCCTTGGAGGCGGCACCGGCCCTGGGCCCGAGGCCCGCCGCGCCCTATCGGGCCCGAGTCGAGTGGCCCCGCGGAGCCGGCGCGCTCCCGCCTGCAGGGGGAGGGCGGACGGGGCGCGGGGACCGGCCAGGCCGCGGCAGGCGCTGTTTCTCTTTCACTTTCCTTCCCTCTGAGGCTGGCGCGCTGGCGGCGAGGAGCGGTGGTGGCGGCAGCCGCGGGGTAGGTACACGGCTGGCTGGAGAGCGGCCGAAGGGCCGGAACTCGGCCGCCCCTGCGCTCCCCGCCCAAGTTTGCGCCGGGAGCCGGAGCGGCACCTCCAAGCACCTGCCGCGGCAGGCCCCGCCTGGAGCCGGGAGAGCTCTTCGGGGGGCGGGGACGGGGGTGGCCTGCCGGGGTCTGGGGGCTTTGAGGTCGCGCCTTACGGTCGGGGGCGGAGAGGGCGGCGGGCGCACGGCCCTGGGAGAGGCGGCGCGTCCTCCCAGGCGCCGCCCCGGCCCGGCCCGAGCGCCGCGTCCGCCGGGCCCTGGCCCGCGCACCTGCCAGGCGGGCGGGGAGGCTTGTGCTGGGACCGCCTAGGGCAGTGCTACCGGGTCCTGCCGGAGGACGAGGAAAAGTTCCCTCCTGCCCCCGCCCCGTCACTGCAAGTACTTGCTTCCTTTAACCTTCTTGGTGACAGGGCTCTATGGCTTAAGATCATAATCCCACCCCGGGTCTGGACTGTGCAAGTCCGGTTTCAGAGGACTTTGTCTGACTTTGGAGCTTCGTAGCAAACCTGTGAGAAAGGCAGGGCCGTTAATCCCAGTATATAGAGGAGGAGGCCGAGATCCAGGCACGGATAATAAGTGCCTTGCTGCAGGTCATACAGGGGCTCAGGACCAGAACCCAGACCCCCTGTCTGATAATTACGCTCTCTTTCTGTTACACCCTCGACACGATTTCCTGAGCGGATAGGATGATTACTTGCAGAACCTATTCCGTGCGTATTCTCAGTGGCGATGTGTCTGTCGATGCAAGATGGAACGATACCCTTTACCTCTCCGGTTGCTTTATATTTAACTTATGAGTTAATAGCTGATTTAGAAAAGTTTTTGTTTATAGAATTAACTTGGGAAATCCACACCTTTTTTTCATGTTGTGTCCTCTAAGAGGACACGTTTGTTGTAAGAAACCTTTAAAACTTTTTAAAGTAACCATATGGACAAGCCATGCTAGACGTTTCTGGAAAAAAAAAGTTTAAAAATTAATGACATTCAGTTTTTACAGTGTGCTAGCTATATGTATGTTGTCTCATTTAATCGTCACAACTGTAGGAGGCTGGCATTCTTGTTTTCATTTTACAGTTTAAAAAACCGTAAGACTTAGAGACGATAAGTAACATTGCCCAGGTTATACATTTACTAAATGTGACTGGTGTCTGTTTAAGATTTGCAGTCTAATAGAGGAGATTAAGAATGAATGTAACTGTAAATAAAAATAGAAGGAAAACGTAACAGAGAAACAAGGGTTAAAAAAAAACCGGGGAGATTACACTGAGGATAGCTTTGGAAAAGGGTTTGAAGAATAGGTAGGCTCTGGATAGGGGAGCAGAAGAGCTCTTTGGATGGAGGGCATAGGACCTGCAGAATGGACTATGGAAAGAGCCATCCTTTCAGTTTTCCTGAGCTTTGAATGATATGTTAAGGGTCTTATACGACCCTTATATGGGTCTTATAAGGAGGGTCTTATACGACAAGCTGAGGAGGGTCTTATACGACAAGCTGTGGAGGGTCTTACACGACAAGCTGAGAAATTTAAAGGTTTCTCTGTTACAGAGTAAAGAGGAGACACTGACATTCTTTGAGAAGAGAATCCAAATGTGATAGAATAAACTTGGTAGAACATAAGTTGGGCTGCAGGTGGAGAGGTAATATTTGAGTAGGATGGCTGTGGAAGGAATGGAAAAGGACATCCATTTGATTTGATTACCGACTAGGTGTGGAGTACAGAATGGAAATAGGGAGCATCTTGATAGGGAGGATAATGGCTTCAATTTTGAATCTTTTAGCTTGTGTTGGCGGGAACTCCTAATAGAGCAGTCAAGCAGGTAGTTAAAATGCATTACTCAAGAGGTAAAGGTATCAAAACCAGAGTTAACAGCCTCAGGTGTCATTTGTATAGATGTGATAGTTGAGGCCTCAGGATTGGATGAATTTATTATTCTGACTTAGTTTACAAATTAATGTTACAGTGAGGGAAATGTTCTATTCACCTGTTCACCCAGTTTGGAACATGTAATACTTGTTGCTAATACGTTGGTGTTAATACAGTACGGGTAATTTGACACCTTTTTCTCTCGTCTTTTTAAAATTACTGTGGAAGAAGATATGGGAAAGCAGAACCACCAAAAGGAGTGATGACCAGTGATCTCATGAGAAGTCTGGATGTTAGTTCTCATGCCTCAGGACATCCAGTTGGGAACTCCACACCAGCTCCTGGGATCAGACTTTCATTCACTTAATACCCCTGTTTGCCTGAACTACTAGAGCCAGTCCTAGCTAACCACGAATGGCTACCCAGAGGAAACACTTGGTGAAAGATTTCAATCCTTACATCACTTGCTATATCTGTAAAGGGTATCTGATCAAGCCAACTACAGTGACGGAATGCCTCCATACCTGTAAGTATTCTTTATTTTGTCATCTACCTATCAGAAGTTTTGGGTTACACTTCTTCTTTTAAAACTGCCACATTTTGGGGGTTTTCCTCTAGATTTTAACTTTTAAAACAATGAGTATTCTAAGAATTAACTTTGAATTTATTTTCAGAATTGAATTTCTCACTGGGATACCAGTGGTATGAATTTTTTCTCGTTTCTTTTTTAAATTGTTATAGTTCACTTTTATCTGATTTTAAAATGTTCTGAAAATCATAAGCAGTTATTGGTTAAACTATAACAGTTTTTTTTTACGTGAACTATTTCAGGTTTTCGCGTTTTAAAAATTTTATTGAAAGAATTAATATGCTCAGAGATTTTTTTAGGATATGCATACTTTAATTCATTGTGGGTTTTTTGCAATCACTTTATTGAGGTATGGTTGACATAAAAAAGCTGTACGTGTTTAATGTGTTTAACTTGATGAGTTTAGAGATAAGTATATACACATGAAACCATCACCCACATCAATGCCATAAACCTTATCCATCACCTCCAAAAGTTTTCTCTCACCCTCGTTTATTACTATTGTGATAAGAACACAATGTAAAATCTACCCTCCTAGCAAAATTTTAAGTGTACAACACAGTATTGTTAACCGTGGGCACTATGCTGTACAGTAGATCTCTAGGATTTATTCATCTTGTATAACTGAAACTGTACCCTTTGACCAATAACCAACAGCCTCAGCGTCCCCTGGGAACTCGTTAGAAATGCAGATTATCAGGCCTCCCCCCAGAATTACAGAAGCGCTCTGGGAGTAGGCCCAGACATCTGTGTTTAACAATCCCTCCAGGTGATTCTGAAGCACGCACAAGTTTGAGAATCACTGTTCTAATGAATGATCGTATGTGTGCAACTCCTGACAAGTTTCTTTTTCACCTGTACTATCAGTAGAGAGACATTTTTATAGCCACTTAGGCCAGTATTTCACCTATTTTTTGTGTTTTTGCCAATATGAATTTATTTTCCTATTTCAATGAAGGTAATTCCAGTAAGTTCTAGTTTAATGCCTGTTATGTGCACCAAAGTAGATACTTTATATACTTGATTTCATTTTAGCTTTAAACAGTAACCTTGAAGCAGTTTGGAGGGGATGTGGGGAGACAGAGAGAGTATAGAGATTATCTTCACTTGTGGGTGTGGAAGCTTAAGAGCTAAGTCACTTACCCAGTCCCGCAGCTTATGAGTAGTAGACCTGTATTCAGCTCCAAAGCCCATGCTCTTTCTAAGATAACCTGGGACATTTTTTTAATCCCCCCTTCAGCTATTCTCCCTCTGCTTAACTTACATACTATTATACCGGTAGTTTTAAACAGGGTTGCAAAAAAAGAATCACCTGTTAGTTGTTAAAATGGCAGGTTTTATAAATATTTTACCACAAAAAAAAGTCACCTAGGATGCTGTTTAAACATAAACTTTTTCACACCTCCACCTGGAGAGATTGGTGGGTGTTGTGATGAGGTCTGGACATGTGTATTTTGGCAAACCTCTCCAAGTGATGTTGATGTATACTTTTTGGAGGTATTACCGGGCCCATGCTGTTCAATTACCAGTTAACTATGAACTGTCTTGAAATGCTCACTTACTGTTGCACTGTATCATTATCTAACTTGAACAGTTATCAGTTAAACATCATCAAACAGATATTTATTGAATGCCTACCATGTGCCAGGCACTATTCTAGGCACAGAGAATAGCAGCAGTGAACAAGGTAGTCAAAAATCTCTGCTCTCAAGAAAGGGGAAAACCAATAATAAACATACGCCACGTTAGATTGTGTTAAATGCTATGAAGAACAAAGAAGGATTGTAGATAGGAGAGTTGGGGTCATTTTATATAGTGTGTCAGGGTTGGCCTCTTTGATATGATGACATTTGGACAGAAACCTGAAGGGATTGAACTCTGGATATATGGGAAGAGCATTCCGGGCAGAGGGAAAAGCAAGTACACGGCCTTGAGGTGGAAATGCCCTTGGCAAGTGTAAGGAACAGCTAATCAGTGAGAAGGCTATTGCTGCAGGTCAGCTGAAAGATTATGGGGCCTTCAGCCAGGGTAATGAGGTGTGAGATGGAGGCAGGGAAGAGTGATTGACTGTGGATGTATTTTGGAGGCAGAACCAGTAGGATGTGGCTACTCTAGAGTGGGGACTTTGTCTTATACTTTCCTGTTTCCCACTACACGAAGCATGGCACCTGGACATGGTCCACAGTCTGTTTTGTTTTGCTTCTTCTGACATTAGTGCATTGTTTTTATAATTGCATTTGTCCAGCAAAACCTGCCAGTTCTGTTTGGCAGATGAGAAGAAAGCACAAATTCTCCAGTTTTTATCTATATAATACAGATTTTATATCTGTTCTTCTGAAAGAAAATTTTCTTTGGGACATAATGAAATCCCAGTTTAAATGTTATTTTTTTTAATATAAATTTATTTTATTTATTTACTTATTTTGGCTACGTTGGGTCTTCGTTGCTGCGCGCAGGCTTTCTCTAGATGCGGCAAGCGGGGGCTACTGTTCATTGTGGTGCGCGGGCTTCTCATTGCAGTGGCTTTTCATGTTGCGGAGCACGGGCTCTAGGCACGTGGGCTTCAGTAGTTGTGGCACACAGGCTCGGTAGTTGTGGCTCGCAGACTCCAGAGTGCAGGCTCAGTAGTTGGTGGCGCACGGGCTTAGTTGCTCCACAGCATGTGGGATCTTCCCGGACCAGGGCTTGAACACGTGTCCCCTGCATTGGCAGGTGGATTCTCAACCACTGCGCCACCACGGAATTTCCTAAATGTTACTTTTCTGAAGGAAAAACAAAAGATTCTAGAAGTATAAACAATAAGTTTATAAGCAAGGGTTATGTTTATGTTTGCAACAGCAATTTAATTAAGGTCTAAAGGGATAGGTGACCGTTTAATAGCTCTTGTCATTCTGGCCTGAAAAGTCCCTTGGCAGTCAGCAAGCCCCTTTACTGAGAGAGAATGAACATGGCAGAATTGTGATTAAAAGACACAAATATGACCTCTTTCATCCACAGAGAACACAGAACAGTAGAGTAAATGATGGTGGAGTCAGGCACTCAACCCAGTGTCTTAGGAGACCTGAGGATTCTGTAGTGCTAAGCTTTATGCACTTTCTGGTCCTTGGATTTCTATATATTTCTTGGTTCATATTCATACTGGGGCTTATAGGCAAAAACTATCCCACTTGCAAAATATCCCCCTATTTGTATTGATAAAATAAATAGTACTGTAAAGCATGTTCCTTAATCATTGGTTGGCTCTTTGATGTTACCTGGTTTTCTTAGGTATAAGGTGGGACAGATATATGTGATACAATGATTTGGGATCAGTATAGATCCCAAATAGAGAATATGGCCCAATAGAGAAGATGGCCAAATGGGACAGGAGGAAAGTGAGAAGTGTTAAGTGATAATGAGGTACTCCCAGATAGTTTCCATCTTGACTTTGGCATATAAAAATATCTTATTAAAATAACTTTGTACCTAAACTATAATTTTATGATACTATAAGTAAAGAATGGGCAAACAATAGTTCTTATTATGGAAACTCATAATAAAAGAGAAAGATTTTGTTCTTACTATTCAAGTTTGAAATGTGTAAATGGAGCTTTATTATTGGTGAGCAAAAGCAGACTTTAGGACCAGTCCCTTCAGAACTCTGGTTCTATTCTGAAGGAATAGTAATCAAGTTAGGGAATGTATAAAATATCAATAAATTTGGAAGCTGGTAAGTGTGATGAAAATGAGGAAACAGAATGATGTAATAGCAGATATATGTCAGGATGTTGCAGCAGAATGAATGCCAGAGAAGGAACCAAAAAGAGTGTTTTCTGAAATTCCTAAAGCCATGGGCCCAAAGCCTTCTCAGGCAGGGACATACATGCTTGGGCCTGGCTGCAGTGGAGGTGCTTTGGGGTGGGAGGTGTAGGGATCATGAGTGGCTCTCCCTGCTTTGATATGGATAAACGGAGTTACTTTACTCTTTCAGATTACTCTGCACATGCATCTCGACTCTTTCTCTCTCCTCAAATCAGTTTGTTGATCCCTGTTTTCCCATTAAGAAATTCGGGAGCTAACACTGCCTGGCTTCCCTGTGGATGTAGAAACAAGGGCCAAAATGACAGCAGACTGTCTGAGTGCAGCAGCCCTTGGTGTTCTTAGCACTCAGCTCTGTGGAAGACAGAGAAAGGGGCAAGGCAGTCAGAAGGAAGGGGGGGTAGAGACGGCAGCGCAGAATGTCCCACACTTCTGACAAGGAGTCGCCAAAAAAAAGGGCTTATAAAAGCCCCATCTTTAAGTAGGCTCATACCTCAACTACTAATACCAGCTCCCTTCAGCAGACCAAGGACGTTTGATAAAAAGATAATAAAACTTTAAAATGAGGTAAAAATTTAAAATACAGATGAGTTTTCCCTTTAAATGATCACTTAATGCTAGATGAACTAAATCCACATGTCTATGAGGTAATTTTTACAACCTAACAAACCTAAGGAAATAAATTTGTTCACACAAATAATTATTGAATTCTCTAAAATAAAGAATTAGATGTCAGGCACTTTGCTAGCCCGTGGAGTAGCGTGGTAAATAAGATAAATTTGTAACTTAAACTCTGCTAAGCAAAACTCATAAGCCAAGAAGAAATTTCTACAGGTGTATTTGGATCTATTTTTTTCTTTTCTATATGAACTCACCTCCTCTGAGACTTCAACTGCCTATGCTGATGTCTCCCAAATCTTTATTCTAAGCATCAGAATCCCACTGGATGTCCACTTAGATGTCCTTGAAGCCTCCTGGAACTTAACATTACCTAAAAGTGAATGAATGGGATGCCAACATTCAGTTGTCCAAGCAAGAAATATGCTCCATGCTTGACTCTCTTTACCCTCACTAACAAAACAGGGGCAGAGTTCTGTCTGGTCTCTCTCTGTAATCTCTCTTGAATCTGTCCCTTCACT